TGTAGGCAGGAACTCTGGGACCACTAGACCATAGAGGGGCTCCTTTGGCACTAGTTGGAGGTGAAAAGTCACCATCATGCTCCAGGCTTTATCCCAGGGGAAAGAGCCCCCGGTATGACGTTGGGCGGACCCCAGAGCCGGTCTGGACGACGTGGAGAAGAGAACACTCTTCAGCCGACAACTGGATCGTCCAGTCCGTAGACAGTCACTATACCAACTGCGCTATCCCGGATCTTATTACAAATATTTTTCAAACAAAATGATCGCAAATAGCGTGGTGTTTCCAATCGTGTTTGAAGGCTAACATTATTTTACAGCATGGCTACGATTGGGCGGCGACCAATTTCAATGGAAATGATCCCGGAAGAATATGTAACGTAAACACGAAAGTGATGATGGGAGTCTGTGAAGGAAAGGAACAACCTGGGTTGAGAAATTACAGGTTTGCGTTGCCGCTATGCGATGAACAATAGCAGGAACTCTGGCTTGGATGTTGGCACGACCTCGTTGAAGAGGCGCTGTACAGTCCAGTTACAGAAATCGGACCTGTATACAGCGGCAGAACACTCCTTATGCAGATTATGACATTTAATAAATTCTGGTACAACGGAGGGGCTGTCTATGCAAACATTCTCCCTGTAGTCCAACCCTTCTTATCGAATTTCGGTTTGATACCTTAATTATCAGGGGGCACGCAGTAGCGTAGTTGCTTGAAGCACTATAAAGACGGAAGGCCGCGGGTTGGAGACACGATGAGGTGGAATTTTTCAATTTACCTAATCCTTCCAGCCGCACTGTAGCCCTGGGGTCGACTTAGCCTCTAACAGAAATGAGTACCCGGAATCTTCCGGGGGAGGGGGGGTAGAGGAGGCCGGTGTGTAAGGCTGACAACTTCACTGCCATCTGTGAGTCGATTGCCTAGAGAAAATATGGGAGCTTCGAAGTCNATAGCCTCTAACAGAAATGAGTACCCGGAATCTTCCTGGGGAAGGGGGGGTAGAGGAGGCCGGTGTGTAAGGCTGACAACTTCACTGACATCTGTGAGTCGATTGCCTAGAGAAAATATGGGAGCTTCGAAGTCTCACATCCCTATGGGCTTTCACGATCTGTTACAGGGATAGCTCGGTATAGCGACTGGCTACGAGCTGGACGACTGAGGGGTCGGAGTTCGAGTATCGGTAGGGTCAAGAATTTTATTTTCTCCATGTCGTCCAGGCCTGTTCTGGGGCTCACCAAGCACCGGGGTACCGGGGGGTAAAGCAGCAGAGGCGTGAAGCTGACCATTCACCTCGAACTAGTCCCGAGGTCAAGAAAAAGTGGATCTATATATCCACTCCCACATACGCCTTCATGGTGTAGCGCTTAATGAGTTAAACAAAGGGACAACTTTACCTCTTTACCTCTTTTATCAGGATTCAAGCGTTTCAATATTCCATGAAAGAAAGGAGAGATTTTGAGGCCGGTCTCACAACTAACTGCGTAATCCACGAACATGAGACGGTTCTCCTTTTAAAACATGTTATTGTGGAAAGAACGATTTTACACAAGTTAGACCAACAGTTGTATAACGATGTTAAATCACTTTGGGGGGGGGTCAAGATTATATGGGNTGGGAAATATTATGACATAGCGCCCGAAAGCCAGAATAGACGTTCACTGCTAGGCAACGACTCGATAAACATATTCCCACGGCAACGAATACGCAGACAACAGTCAAGTAACTTCCGTTGCTATGCAATAGCACTGTAAACACGCCTTCTCAACAACAGAGAGGCTGTTTTCTGCGTGGTCCGTGTAAAGTGGTTATAAAGAAGATTTCAATTGAGAAGAGTTATTTTAAATGCCAGGATATGAGTCTGGGAGCCGAGGAATTGAAGTGAGTCGTCAGTTGCAGAATAATGGCAAGAAAGGAATTAGGCGGTGCATAGAAGACTTCACGTGATTTGAAGTGACAGTGACACTGTTATAAATCCGTTGCCAGGATAAGACTAGTGATGACTCAGAACGCTAGTGCGTGTGTAACGGTGAACTGTGAGGTATGGAGATCAACGATAGCGCTGCAATTGCCAGTAGTTCCAATTGGTTTGTATAAGGTGTCAATAAATCCAATCATCCACTCCAAACCCAGTTTTATAACTCACGCACAACCATCTAAATCGTGACAATACTTCTTTCATATTATCATCCTTTTTTTAACCGATCTGTTTTTGGTCTTTCAGGGGCTAACTTTTAAATCACTGATTGTTTTCATTCAGCATTTAAATCTCGTATGTTACGCTTCTAAAGGGAAGTCGAACGGGTTGAAGCAGCGTAACTTACGACGGCATTGCTAGAAACTTACGCATACGTTCTGCTTCTGAACTGCCCATTAGGGAATACTGTCAATCGAGAACGAGGTCGACTGTTCTAACGAGAATCCGAAGCAATTCTCCTTTCC